ATTGTTATAATTCATACGGCTACTACAAAACACACTCCTGCCACCACTACTACCACTACTACTACTACTACTGCTACTACTACTACTACTACTACTACTACAACTACTACTACTACTATTACTACTACTACTACTACTACTGAAGTTGACCTTACCCTATTTGCCCCAGGGGCCGTCTGGGACCGGGCGGTCATCGTATGGTGATCGGAAGGTACGCGTATGGCAATCATGTAATAGTCGTATGGTCGTCGCATGGTAGTCGCATGGTAACCACGTGGCAATCGTATGGTAGCCGTACGGTAGTCGTATGGTAATAGTATGGTAATAATTTTATGGTGGTGTTATGGTAACTGTTTGGTAGTCGTATGGTAATCGCATGGTAACCGCATGGTAGCCGCATGGTAAATTACCGACGGAGGACCGAACCCCAGGAGACTTAGGTTCTCGGGGCGCTTTCGGCCCCGGCCCTTCAGAAGGGCGCCCAAGTCGCCACGGCCAGATTCCCCTTCGCAATTCCTATCAAGGCGCACCTGGGGCCTTGGGGGGACGACGACGACGACGACGACGACGACGACGACGGAAGCATCCAGGCCCCCTCGGCGCGCCGCCGAAATGAGCTGTGCGAGCCCGTGCACGAGCCACCGGTCCTGCCCCGCCGCCTGCAGCCCCGCCAGCTGCCCCCCGTTCTGCTTCAAGTCCTCCCCCTCCGCCCGCAATTGCTCCAGCTGCTGCGCGATGAAACTGTTGGTGGCCTCGAACCACTCATTGTTGCAGGCCTTGAAGGCGCGCGTGAACGCGCTCACCCCGGCTGCGGGCTTGGTGGTCGGAGGGCCGTCGCGGTGGGGAAAGAAACCGGTCTGGGTGGCCGTGCGACGGAATCAGAAGCACCCGCATGAACATGAACCTTCAGAGGTCCGAGTACCGATACGCCCAGCCTTCGGGTGATAAGGAGATTTGGGAGGAAAGGGAGGCGATCGATTTGCGATGGCTCAGGGTTCTTGGACAGCGTTGGTCGACCTATCGACGCGCACAAAAGCACGCACATGACACACCGGGCACACGCGCACGCGCGCACGCACATGCCACACACGGGAGACACACATGACACACCCACCACACGCGCGGGACACACCAAGGATACACACACGTCACGCACATGACGCACGCAAGACACACTTGTCCTCAGGGAGCGCACCATGTCTCAGATGCGAGTGCTGGAAGAAGAGTCCTCCGCGTCAGCTAAGCAGAACATGCCGCCAAAAGGCAGATGCAGTCTGCGCGAGTGAGACGGTGAAACAACCATGATTAAGACGCCCTGCACGGTGTCAATCGACACACACAGGACACCCACACACGCACTGGACACACGCACACACAAGACACACCCGACACACTCTCACACACGCACACACACACACACGCACGCACGAGCCACACACAGGAGACACACACACATGACACACCCAACACACACAACACTCAGGGTGAGCACAGGTCGCACACATGACGCACACAGGACACACACAGGACACACACAGGACAACCCGCAAGACAACCCCGGGGCGCCGGCTGCCAGGGCCAGGGGGGGGGGCCTTTTTGTCTCCCGGCAACTTATACTACTGCAGGATCTCGCGCAGCTTCCCTTCGCCCGCCCGAGCGACGCGAACCCGAGGCCAAAACGTTCACCGTTCCACTTCGATCTCAACCCCAAACCTCCGATTTTCCCAAACCGTACCCACCCCGCTACCGCCCTCCGGGCTGTAGTCCTCCTTGTTGCAGGAGGTGCAATCAGGGGGTCGATGGCCTGTGAAGCCGGGCAGCTCGCGCTTGTTGGGCCTTTCCTCCTCCCCCATGCAAGTGCATGAGGGCCCCTCGCCGCTCTCGCGCGCAGCCTCCCAACGCCTTCAGGGGCGCCATCCCTCAACACCGCTCTTTCCCCCATCAGAGCTTGCCTCTGTAGGAATCCTAGCGGATTCAAACGTTAGACAGTGTTTGCCGCCGATTGCCCGGGTGGCCGGGCCCGGGTGCCCGGGTGCCCGGGGGTGCCCGGGGGCGCCAGGGTGCCCGGGGGTGCCCGGGTGGTCGGGTGCCTGGGGGTGCCCGCGGGGGTGCCCGGAGGTGCCCGGGGGTGCCCGGGGGTGCCCGGGTGCCTCTAGCCCTAGCCTTGTGGCCCTATCGCCCTGTAGCCGTATAGCCTTATAATAATCCTATAGCCCTATAGTCCTATTGCCCTGTATCCCAATGGTTCTCTAGGCCTATGGCCCTGTACCCCTATGGCCCTCTAGCCTTATAAATATAGCCCTATAGCCCTATAGCCCGATGAAGCCCTATAGCCCAATAGCCCTATAGCCCTGTAGCCCTATGGCCCTGTAGCCCTATCGCCCTGTAGCCCAAAGGCCCTATAGCCCTATAGACCCATAGCCCTGTAGCCTTATAGCCCAAGAGCCCAATAGCCCTGTAGCCCTGCGGCCCTGTAGCCCTAGGGCCCAATAGCCCAATAGCCCAATAGCCCTCTAGCCCTACAGCCCCATAGCCCTATATATATAGCCCTGCAGCCCTATAGCCCTATATCCCTGTAGCCCCATGGCCCTATCGCCCTATCGCCCTATAGACCTATGGCCCTACATCCCTATAGCCCTACAGCCGCGTAGCCCAATAGCCCTATAGCCCAACAGACCTACAGCCCTATAGCCCTACTGCCCTATAGCCCTGGAGCCTTATAGCCCAATCGCCCAATAGCCCTATAGTTATGTAGCCCTGTAGCCCTATAGCCCCTTAGCCCTATAGCCCTATAGTCCGATAGCCCTCTTGCCCAATAGCCTTATACCCCTGTAGCCCTATGGCCCTATGGCCCTATAGCCCTCTGGCCCAATCGCTCTACAGCCCCATCGCCCTATAGCCCTATAGCCATATAGCCCTGTAGCCCTATAGCCATACAGCCCTATGACCCTATAGCCCAACAGACCTGTAGCCCTATGGCCCTATAGCCCTATAGCCCTATAGCCCTACTAGCCCTAGCCCTATAGCCCAACAGCCCAATAGCCCAATAACCCTGTAGCCCTATGGCCTTGTAGCCCTATAGCCCTATAGCCCTATAGCTCTATAGACCTATAGACCTATAGCCCTGTAGCCCTGTAGCCCTGTAGCCCAATAACCCTATGGCCCTATCGCCCTGTAGCCCTATGGCCCAACAGCCCAATAACCCTACAGCATCATAGCCCTATAGCCCTATAGCCCTATAGCCCTGTAGCCCTATAGCCATATGGCCATATGGCCCTGTAGCCCTATGGCCCTATCGCCCTGTAGCCCCATAGACCTACAGCCCTATAGCACCATAGCCCTATAGCCTTATTGCCCGATAGCCCAACAGCCCTTAGCCCCTTAGCCATATAGCCCTATAGCCCTATGACCCTATAGCCCTACAGCCCTATAGCCCTGTAGCCTTATAGCCCAATAGCCCTAGAGCCCTGTAGCCTTATAGCCCTAGGTCTATAGCCTTATAGCCAAATATCCCCATAGCCTGTGGCCATATGGCCCTATAGCCCTGTAGCCTTTTATAGCCCAATAGCCCTATAGCCCTACAGGCCCATAGCCCTGTAGCCCTGTAGCCCTGTAGCCCTATAGCCCTATAGCCCTGTATCCCTTTAGCCCTATAGCCCTGTAGCCCTATGGCCCTATCGCCCTATCACCCTGTAGCCCTGTAGCCCTATAGACCTATAGGCCTATAGCCCTGTAGCCCTATAGCCGTGCAGCACTGTAGCCCTATATAGCCCTATGGCCCTATGGCCCTATGGCCCTATAGCCCTATAGCCCTATTGCCCTATAGCCCTATAGACCTATAGCCCTAGAGCACTATAGCCTCATAGCCTATAGCCCTATAGCCTTATAGCCCAATAGCCCTGTAACCTTGTAGCCCTATGGTATAGCCGCCCTAGAGCCCTATAGCCCTATACCCCTACAGCCCTATAGCCCTATAGCCCTATAGCCCTATGGCCCTATGGCCCTATAGCCTTATAGCCCTGTTGCCCTATGGCCCTTTCGCCCTGTAGCCCTATAGGCCCTGTAGCCCAATAGCCCTACAGCCTTATTGCCCAATAGCCCAACAACCCTACAGCCCTATAGCCCTATAGTCCTATGGCCCAAATGCCATATATAGCCCTATAGACCCGACCAAAATCCGATTGGGGTTTTCTCCGGTGTCATATCATCAGACGCGGGGGGCCCCCCCCTCTTCTCCCCCTGCTCCCTCCACCTCCGCGCCCTCCCCCCTTTCCTCTGCCTCCTCCTCCTCCTCATCATCATCATAATCCTTTCCCTCCTCGTCCTCTACACCCCATCCTCCTCCTCCTCGTCCTTGTCGTCCTCCTCCTCCTCCACGCCCCGTCCTCCGCCTCCCCCTTCTCCTGCCCGCCCCCTCCCCCGCCCCCCCCCCTTCCTCTATCGACCGCTTCCCCCACCTCCTCCCCCCCCTCCTCCTCCTCCTCCTCCTCCTCCTCCTCCTCCTCCTCCTCCTCCTCCTCCTCCTCCTCTTCCGTTCCCACGTTCGCGTCGCTATCCTCCTCCCCTTCCCCGTCCTCCTCTTCCTCCTCCTGTCCCCCTCCTCCTCCTGTCCTCCTCCTCCTCCCCCCCCCCCCTCGCCCCCCTCCTCCTCCTCCTCCCGGCCGGGGTGGGCGAGGGGGGAGGAAGGAGAGGCGGAGGACAAGGGGCCAGGGGAAATCAAACTGGAAGAGGAGGAAGAGGACGGGGGAGGGGCGAACAGACAAGGAGGATAACGGGGACAGGGGTGGCGGGGGGGGGCCCTCTCTCAAACTCATGGTAGCGGCGCGGAGGGAAGGCCCCTCATGCCTGGCGGCTGCGCCCCACCAGGGGTCGGCCTGGAGCCACTCCAAGACCTCGATTTCGAGCACGCCGGCCACCAGCGAAAACGGCCCTCGCTCGGCAGCGAGCTCGCCGGCCACCAGCTTCATCCTGGGGAACGCACACCCGCAGGGGGGGAGCGGGCGAAGCAAGGGGAAGGAAGGGAGAAGAAGTGGAGAGAGGAGGCAGGATTTGGAGAGCGACCGGTCTTCTGCCTGCCGCCGCCGCCGCCGCCGCCGCCGCCGCCGGTCGTCGTCGTCGTCGTCGTCGGCCCGGTCGGGCCTGCCCCGGACGCCCGCGGCTGCTCGGGCTCGGGCTCGGGCCCCAGGCTCCGGCTCCAGGAGGGACTCCACGAGCTGCAGCGCCCCCGTGCTCAGGGACCGGGTGAAAGCGCCAGCGACACCGGGGGCGCCGCCGGACGCCGGGCCCGGGAACGCCGGGCTCGGGAACGCCGGCGGCCCGACCTTCCAAGCCCCTGACGACGACGCCAGACCTTCGAGGTAGCCACCAACCGCTGGCGGCCCGAACTGCCTCCAAATCTGGAACAGCAGGTCGACGATGCTCTGCGCCGGGAAGCCGCCGTCCCCGATCCAGGGGCCCGAGGGAGTATCCAAGATGGCAGTCGGGGTGCCCAAGATGGCATTCGGGGGTGCCCAAGATGGCATTTTTGGGAAGCCGCCGTCGCCATTTGGAGTGCTCCGGCCGCCACTCACGAGAACGGGCCTGTTCTCGCAAGAGCGGGCGCGCCATCTTGCGAGAACGTCCGCGTCCTCGCAAGAGCGGGCGCGCCATCTTGCGAGAACGTCCGCGTTCTCGCAATAACGGACGCCCCATGTTACGAGAACGTCCACGTTCTCGCAAGAGCGGGCGCGCCATCTTGCGAGAACGTCCACGTTCTCGCAAGAGCGGGCGCGCCATCTTGCGAGAACGTCCACGTTCTCGCAAGAGCGGGCGCCCCATCTTGCGAGAACGTCCACGTTCTCGCGCGAGCGGGCGCCCCATGGTGCGAGAACTTCCACGTTCTCGCCAGAGCGGGCGCGCCATCTTGCGAGAACGTCCACGTTCTCGCAAGGGCGGACGTCCACGTTCTCGCAAGAGCGGGCGCGCCATCTTGCGAGAACGTCCGCGTTCTCGCCAGAGCGGGCGCGCCATCTTGCGAGAACGTCCACGTTCTCGCAAGAGCGGGCGCGCCATCTTGCGAGAACGTCCACGTTCTCGCAAGAGCGGGCGCGCCATCTTGCGAGAACGCCCGCGTTCTCGCAAGAGCGGGCGCGCCATCTTCCGAGAACGAACCCGTTCTCTCGAGAACGAGCCCCTCAGGACGGCCCCGAAAGGGCCTCGAGAAGCCCCCGAGACGCCCAAGACAAGGTCCGCCAGACGACCCGGAGGCCCCCAAGACGGCTTCCGACGTCGGCAGACAGGCCAGAAACGCTTCAAAACGGCCAGAGAGACCTCCAGGAAGCCCCCAAAAGCCCCGTAGAAGCCCAAGGGCGCCCCCAATATGCCTCCAAAAAACCAGAGGAAGCCTCCGCGAGGCCCCGAGAACGCCCCAAACTGCCCCAGAGGCGCCTCCTCCTCCTCCCCCTCCTCCTCCTCCTCCTCCTCCTCCTCCTCCTCCTCCTCCTCATCCTCCCCCTATGTTCCCCGCAAGCTTTCAACGACGGCTCGGGGAACGCTGCATCCGATGATTTTGGCAAGTTCTGGCGAAACACTCAGCCACATATGCGCTTCCAAACCTGGCGGTGATTCGCCGCGGGCGTCTTTGATAGCGGGGCGGCCCGCAAGACCTCGGCCACGGCGCACCCGACCGCCCATGCGTCGACGGGCGATCCGTACTGGGAGTCGCCGAGGCAAAGTTCTGGAGCTCGGTGCCAGATTGTGCCAACCTCCAGGAGCTCCAGCCCGGCGCTGCTGTCCACCGCGACCCGCCAGGCGGGGTCGAGCGCCTCCGCCGCGCCCAGATCGCCCAGGACGAATCGCGGGGGCGTTGCCGCCAGGTAGAGCACGTTAGCGGGCTTCACGTCGGTGTGTATGACGCTATGCGAATGCATGTGGTCCAGCGCCCGCAGCAGGGAGGTCCGCCACTGCGCTTGCAGCAATAGGTGTACGTCGGGTCATATCGCACTTCCGCACCAGACCCAACGCGCTGTTTTTGCAACCACGATCCTGCGTTCTGGGCGCCCCCGGGCGGGAAGTACCCGAAGTGAAAATTCGATCGAATTCTTAGCGTTTTTTTTTTTTTTTTTTTTTTTTTGAAAATCCTGATCCGCCCCTGGCGTTCGCTCGTGTCCGCCCGGACGCACGCCCGACCGCGCTGGCGGAATCGCGCGGCAGCGCGCATGGATGGCCAGCTGCCAAGCCCGATCCCCCGGCCACTCCTGACCATCCTCGAGCAGCGCGGCCGCGGAGCCGTCGTACAAAGGGAAGAGGAGCGCCGACTTCGCCCCCAGGCGCCCCAAAACCCCGCGCGGTCGCGAGGGTGGACCCATCTTCGCTGAGACAGCCCCCGCCGCGCCGAGAACGGGCCTGCTCGCGCAACCCGTTTCGGGAGAACGAGCCTGTTCTCGCTGCCGAAGTCGCGGGGGCGGGCCCGTTCCGGCGCGACGGGGGCCTCTTCAACGAAACCGGGCCGCTCTCGCGGCCAACGCTGGTCGGGCGCCCTGGGCGCCTGCATCATCGCGACGTCCAGGAGTCGCAAGACGTCGGGGTGCGGCGGGGCGGCGGCGAACGCCGCCGCATCTCGCTCGGCGTCCTGCTGGGCGCAAGATCGGCGGCGACGGCACGGGGGCCCAGCGGAGGAGGAGGGGGGGGTGACGGAGGAGGGAGGAGAAGAGGGAGGGGTGGAGGAGGAGGAGGAGGAGGAAAGGGAGGACGGGCCCCCTGATTGTGGGCTGCGGCTCGGGGCACGGCACGGTTGCAGTCGGAGTCGATTGGGCAGGGCACCCGAGAGGACACGAGACTCTTCCGAAGACAACGTGGCCCCGAACAACCAGAGGACGCGCAGATGGCGCGGGGCGGGATAGGCAGGACACAAGGGCACCCTTCAGTTAGCAGGGTCGGCCTACTAATCAACTCCGAATGTACAGCCTACAATCTGGCGCCACCCCCGCTGCGCGAGACCTGCGTGCCTCCGAAGGCCGTTTGGCGCACGGCGGGTCCTGGGGGTCGTCGAAGATCTTCGCTGCCGCGGAACTGTCTGACTGGCTGCTCCCGGGGCGCGTCGAGACGCGAAGGGCCTGTCTGGCTGGGAAAAACTACTGTACCAGCCAGCGTGGCCCCCAAACAATACTAGCTGGTGCAACCTATGTGGCGTAACTGCGCAAGGCGAGCTGCGTGGTGACAGCCCCTTTGTGCGTCGCGCTCGAGGAATACTGGCCCCCGCCACGCCGCCGAACAAACCAGCGCCCCGAAAAATGCAAACACTGTTTCGGGAAACGCACCGGCGCTCCCCGGATATCCCCCAGAGCCCGCCGCCCAAGAAGATTTCGGCGCGAAACCGGCCGTTGCGACGATATTTCCCGACGCGAACAGCGCCATCTGTATCGTTTCGATGGTCGACCTTTTTCACCTGGCCGAAGGCGCCCTTGCCGATGTCCGCTACTGCCTGGATGTCCGCTGCTGCCTGATGTCGGTTCGCAATGATAGGGGCGAGCAAAGGCGACGCCAACGCCGCGAGGAGCTGGGGGGGATCCCCTGGCGGTGCGGCCCCCCCCCTCCCGCTCGAGATATCCCGCGTGTCCAGCTCGGGGGGGCATCGTGGACCTCCTCGCTAGAGGTGGGGTGGGCTCCCTGGTGGCGTCAGTGTCGCTTTCCTCCCCTCGACATTGACGCGGGTGGCGCGAGGGGGGCGGTCTCCTCAGAAAGCCCCCCTCCTGCCCTGACGTCGAGTCGCGGCCTTCCCTTTCAAGCGGCTCGGGGAGTTCCGAAATTCCCCGCGCCCGCAAGAACAAATTCGCCAACGCGCCAGAAGCGCGAAATGGGTGTGTCCTCAGGTCCTTTCTCTGAGCCTCAGTACTCAGTCCGGATAAGTCGTCGAGGGAACCGGCGCCCAAAATCTCTTGGGGCTTGCAACCGTTCCCTTCGGGTGCGGCGCATCTTCTCGCAAGACTTTGGGAAGGGCATTGTTTGGCACCGCTCGCGAGGATCGCGGCCTCCGAGGGGGTCCCGAACTCGAGTTCCCCGCCCCTTCCCGCCCCAAGAAACCCCCAAGAAACCCCCAAGATGCCCCCCTCAGGCACCGAGGGGCCCCAGGGCCCCCCCAAGGGGCGCCAGGGGCCCCCCAAGGGGCGCCCGAGAAGCCCCAAGAGGCCCCCCAAAAGGCCCCGAGAGGCCCCCGAGAAACCCGAAGAGGCAAACCACGAGATCCCAACCAACATCCATGAGGCCTCTGACCCACCACCCAGGCACTGTGGCGGGATAGCCCCCTGGGGATGCATTATAGGGGTGCCTGGCGTGCTAGATCCTTTCGGCGTTGGTTCTGTTTCTTCTCCAACGCAACTATCCCCGGGACTTCGGCCCAGCCCGCCGGGGTCCTGGAAGGCCGCGGAAGGCCGCGTTGCAAAGGGTCGTTCTGCTCCGGACGGCTCCAAGATGGTCCAAAATGGCCCCTAATATGCCTCCAAGACTGCCGAGGGCGAAGATGGCCCCAAGATGCCTCCAAGACGGCGCAATATCAACCGAAGACGGCCTAATACTGGCTCAATATTGCATAAAACCACTCCGGGGGAGCCCCCAGAAGGCCTCCAAGACGGTCTAAAAGCTTCCCAAAGGTCCTCCAGGAGAGCCCAGAAGCCAGAACCGTTAATTTCCCTTCGGGCTTCGAGTGCATTTTGGTATTTGCTTCTTATCGGCCTTCCGGCGGCTCAAGACGGTGGCATTTGCTTGTTTTCGTTCTTCCGACGGCTCAAGACGGCCCAGGGGGCCCCCAAGATCGCCCCAAGATCGCCCGCGAGGCCTCCGACATGGCCCCATGGCGGCCCAAAAAGCCCCCAAGACGGCCCCAAAAGGGCCCCAAGAAGCCTCCAATACCTCCAAGAAGCTTCCAATGCGGCCTCCGAGACGGCTAAGATGGCTCGCAGACGCCTCCAATACAGCCCAAGATGCACCCGAGACAGCATAAGATGGCCGTAGCCCAGGGCGGCCCCAGAGGCCCCCAAGATGGCTTCCAAGATGGGCCGAAGAGGCTTCCAAGCGCTCCTCCAGGACGGCCCGAAGAGGCCAATATCATTAATTTGGGATAAGTTGGCTTATAATGTTGGCATTTGCTTCTTGTCGGCCTCAAGACGGCCCAAAAGGCCCCCTAGATCGCCCCAAAATCGCCCACGAGGCCTCCAGAAGGCTGCCACGACGGCCCAAAGAGGGCCCCATGACGGCCCAAAGAGGGCCCCATGACGGCCCAAAGAGTGCCCCAAGACGAGAATGGGCCCGTTCCCGCAAGAACCAGCGCACCATCATACGAGAACAGGCCCGTTCTCACAAGAATGGGCGCGCCATCTTGCGAGAACGGGCCCGTGCTCGCAAGAATTGGCAAACGGGCCCGTTTTCCTACGAACCGGCGCGCTATCTTGCGAGAAGGGGCCCGTTCTCGGAAGAACGGGCGCGCCATCGCGCGAGAACAGGCCCGTTCCCGCACGAACAAGCGCGCCATCTTACGAGAACCGGCCCGCTTTGGCAAGAATTGGCGCGCCATCCCACGATGGCGTCCCGTTCTCGCAAGAGCGGGCGCGCCATCTTGCGAGAAGGGGCCCGCTCTCGGAAGAACGGGCGCGCCATCGTGCGAGAACGTCCACGTTCTCGCAAGAGCGGGCGCGCCATCTTGCGAGAACGCCCACGTTCTCGCAAGAGCGGGCGCCCCATCTTGCGAGAACCATCTTGCGAGAACGTCCACGTTCTCGCAAGAGCGGGCGCGCCATCTTGCGAGAACGTCCGCGCTCTCGCAAGAGCGGGCGCGCCATCCTGCGAGAACGTCCACGTTCTCGCAAGAGCGGGCGCGCCATCTTGCGAGAACGACCCCGCTCTCGCGAGAACGAGGCCTCCAAGACGCCCAAGACGGCCGTCGCGACGGCCCTGATGCGCCCCGGAAAAGCCCCAGGACGACCTGGAGAGGCCCCCGAGACGGCTCCCGCCGGCGTCTGACGAGCCTGGAACACCCCGAGACGGCCAAGAAGGCCCCCGAGAAGTCCCCAGAGGCCCCAGAAGGCCAAGGGAGGCCCCAAGAGGCCTCGCAAGGGACCCCAGCGAAGCTCCCAGGATGTGCCGACAGTGCCCGAGTAGGCCCCCAAGAGGCCTCATCCTCTTCCTCCCCCATGCGATCCCCGAATGTTGCCCGCGACGGCTCGGGAATACGTAGTCTGATAGTTTGGGCAAGCTCTGGCGAAACTTTCGGTCGCATCGACGCTTCCTAACGAAAAGAACGGGGGCGGCGGCGATTCGCCGCAGGCGTCTTCGATCAGGGCCAGGGGGGGCCCATCGCGCAAGCGCCCCCGGGCCCCTCATGGAACCGCCCCCCTCGCGACGTACCCGCGCGCTTGGGCGCCCGCGCGCCTGCAGGCGCCGTCGCTTGAGCGGCAGCTCGAGCGCCAGCAGGTCGCGCAGCTTGAGCGCCAGCACCGCCGCTGGCGGCGTCGGCGCCGCGGCCGCCGGGGCCCGCGACGCCTCCGCCGCCGCTGGCGGCGCCGATGCCGCCGCGGCTGCGCTGGCGTCAGGCGCGCTGCCGGCGTCGGCGTCGCGGCCGCAGGGGCTGGCGCCGCCTCCGCCAGGGCAGGGGGGGGCGGCCGCCGGGGCTGGGCTGGCGCCTGCGGGGCCAGAGCCGGTGCCTAGCTGCTCCTGCTCCTGGTCCGGAGGCTGCCGATGCTCCTGGCCCGGCAGCGCCTCGAAGGGCGCGTTCGCCCAAGCGCGAGCGCAACCAACCTGCGGGGCCCGAAGATATACACCACCACCACCTCCCTCCTTTTCGCTTCCTGTCTCTTCTTTCCCCCCCCCCCCTCCATCGCCCTCCCCTCCTCCTCCCTCCCCTTCGTTTCCTCTCTCCTAGGAAGGGGCGAGGGGGGAATGGAGGCGGTGGTGGCGTATATCTCGGGCCCCCCCGCAACCGGCTCACGGCGTCGTACTTCCGCGGCTGGGAGAGCACGAAACCGAGCGTCTTGCCGTCCGCCCCGCGAGCGCCGATGGTCGCCGAGAGGCCCCACCGGGTTTGGGCAACTTCTCTCGGCAGCCTTTCGGGGTGGACGGGGAAGGGGGCGGGGGCAGTACAGGGGGGGCGAAGCAGCTCACGGAGCCAGCTCGCGGAGCACTCGTCCGCGACGAGGGCGAATGCGATAGGTTCGCGTCGCGTCGACCCCGGCGCTGGTTCCTGACACCGCGGGGATCGTTCAACTTTGAACGGTCGGCCGTTCCCGAAACGGCGGATCGTTCAACACGGGGCGATTCTGGGTCACTGGCGGCGTTCAGCCTTCAACCTTGAGAGCCCACGGCGGGGTTGCCGACGGCCGACGCGACGCGAACCTACCGCGCCCCTTTGCCGAGGCGCCCCCTCTTCGTCCACCCCGAACCTTGCGGCCGCGTTCTTCAGGACGCGCGGGTCCGCGGACTGCACCGTCCAGTGCGTCGCATTCGCACTCTTCTGCGCCCGAGTGGGCATGCCCCGGCGGGGGCCGCGCCGTGGCCGCCGCCGCCGCCGGGCAGGGCCGCGCCGCGGTTCGCCGCCGCCGCCTGGCTGCCGCGCGGGGCCGCGGGGCTCTGGGGAGCGCCAGGCGGCCGCGCGCTGACCCCGCCGCCGCTGGGCAGGGCCGCGCCGCGGCCCGCCGCCGCCGCCGCCGCCTGGCAGCGGGGGCGACAGGCGGCCGCGCCCTGACCCCGCCGCCGCCAGGCAGGGCTGTGCCGCGGCCTGCCGCCGCCGCCAGGCTGCCGCGCGGAGCCGCGAGGCTCCGGGGGGGCGCGCCGGGCGGCCGCGCCCTGACGCCCCGCGCGATCCGGGGGCGCATTATAATCGCATAATCGTCGTATGGTCGTTCGTGTGGTAATCGAATGGTAACCGTATGGTAGTCGTGTGGCAATCGCGTGGTAGGCGTATGTCTTGTGTCCTTGCAGTCGTATGGCTTTCGTATGGTAATCTAATGGTGTCCGTATTGTAATATTAAGGCTTTCGCATGGTAATCGTGAAGTAATCGTGCGGCTTTCGCGTGGTAGCCGTGGGGTTTTCGCATGGTAGTCATAGAGTAGTCGTATGGTAGTCATAAAGTAGTCGCGTAGTAATCATATCGGAATCGTATGGTATGCGTCTGGTAATCGTATGGCAACCGTGTGGTAATCGCATAATTTTCGCAAAGTAGTCGTATGTAGTCGTATGGTAGTCGTATGGTAATCGTGTGCGTTCCGTATGGTGCTCGTATGTAAGGCAATCGCATGGTAACCGTATGGCAGTCGCATGGCTATCTTATGGCAATCGTATGGTAGTCGTCTGGCAATCGTATGGCAATCGCATGGTCGCCGTATGGCAATCTTACTGCAATCGCATGGCAGTCATATGATAATCGTATGGTAGTCGTATGGTAGTCGTATGGCAGTCGTATGGTAGTCATATGGTTATCGTATGGTAGTCGTATGGCAATCGTATGGCAGTCGTATGGTAATCGTATCGTATGGTAATCGTATGGTCGTCGTATGGTAGTCGTATGGCAATCGTTAGGTCGTCGTATGGTTTTTTGTTCGTATGGTCGTCGTATGACAGTCGTATAGTAGCCGTATGGCAACCGTATGGTAGTCGTACGTTTTTTTCTTCTTCTTCTCATCGCTTTCGCATGGTGCTCTTCTGTTGGTCGTAGGGTAATTTTATGGCTTTCGCATCGTAGTGGTAAGGTTATCGTATTGTGATTGTACGGTAGTCGCATGGTAATCGTATAGTACCCGCGTGGTAGTCGTATGGCAATCGTTGGTAATCGTATGGTAATCGTATGGTACTCGTATGGCAATCGTATGGTAGTCGTATGGTAACCATATACTAATCGTATAGTATATCGTATGGTAATCATAGAATCACTCGTACGGCCATCGTATGAAAGTCGTATGGTAAGCGCACGGTAATCGTTTGATAGCCGTATGGTGATCGTATGGTAGTCGCATGGCAACAGTATGGTAACCATACGGTCGTCGTATGTCTGTATGGTAGTCGTATGGCAGTCGTATGGTTGCCCTATGGAGATCGTGTGGTAATCGTATGGTAGTCGTATGGTAATCGTATGGCAATCGTATGACTGTCGTATGAGAACCGTACGGTAATCGTATGGTAGTCGTACTGTAATCGTAGTGTAACCGCATGGTTTCCGTATGGTGGTCCTATGGTAGTCGTGTGGTAGTCGTATGGCAATCGTATGGTAGTCGTACGGCCATTGTATGGTGATCGTATGGTAGTCGTATGGCAATCGTATGGTAGTCGAATGGTAACCGTATGGTATTCGTATGGTAGTCGTATGGCGATCGTATGGTAGTCGTATGGTAGTCGCATGGTGATCATATGGTAGTCGTATGGTAGTCGTCTGATAGTCGCATAGTAACCGTATGGTAGTCGTATGGTAATCGTCTGATAGTCGCATAGTAACCGTATGGTAGTTGTATGGTAGTCGTACGGATAATCGTACGGTAATCATATGGTAGTCGTATGATAGTTGTATGGCTATAGTATGGTAGTCATATGGTAATCGTATGGTAATATCGTATGGTTTTCGTGTATTTGTTGTGCGCGGCGGTTCCCCCCGCCAGGACCCCCACCACCCACCTTTCCAACCTTCCAAGGAATAAATTGGGCAAGCAGAGTAAGGTCAGCCCTACTACTACTACAACTACAACTACTACTACTACTACTACTACGACTACTACTATTACGATTACTACTACTACTACTACTACTACTACTACTACTACTACTACTAGTACCACCACCACCACCACCACCACCACCACCACCACCACCACCACCACCACCACCACCACACCACTACTACTACTACTACTACTACTACTACTACTACTACTACTACTACTACTACTACTACTACTACTGCTACTACTACTACTACTACTACTACTACTACTACTACTACTATTACTATACTACTACTACTACTACTACTATTACTACTACCATTTCTACGTTACTACTAAAACTACTAATACTACTGCTACTACTACTACTACTTCTTCTACCACTACTACTACAAGTACTACTACGACTACTACTACTACTACTACTACTACTACTACTACTACTACCACTATTACGACAACTACTACAACTACAACTACAACTACTACTAGTACCACTACTGCTACTACTACTACTACTACTACTACTACTACTACTACTACTACTACTACTACTACTACTACTACTACTACTGCTACTACTTCTACTACTACTACTACTACTACTATTACTACTACTACTACTACTACTACTACTACTACTATTACTACTACCATTTCTACTATGATTACTACTAAAACTACTAATACTACTGCTGCTACTACTACTTCTTCTACGACTACTACTACAAGTACTACTACGACTACTACTACTACTACTACTACTACTACTACTACTACTACTACTACCACTATTACGACAACTACTACAACTACAACTACAACTACAACTACTACTAGTACCACTACTGCTACTACTACTACTACTACTACTACTACTACTACTACTGCGTGGTGCAACCTATGTGGTGCGCGGCGGCGACGGCGGCGACGGCGGCGGCGACGGTGCGGGGACGGCGGCGGCGACGGCGGCGACGGGCGGCACGGACGGCGACGGTCGCCCCCGGTCTCGAGACGAGCGGCGGCGACAGACGGCGACGGGCGGCACCGCCCGCGAAAGCCGCACCCGGTCCGGAGATGGTTCAGCCAAGTAAGAAACCCTAAGTGCAAGCACTGTGTGGGGAAAACTTTCGGAGCTACACGCGGATTTTTTTCGATCGGCGCTGGGCGCGGAGCGCGCGGGGGTCCGCGCCGCAGGCGCCGCGCAGGAGGGCCTCGAGAAGTGCCTTGGCGAGCCCTTTGGCGGCACCCTGCGCCGGCCACGCCGTGGGCGGATGTGGCGCACTCCGCCTCGGCTTGGCGGCGCGCACAATGGGGTGGGGGAAGGGGGAAAGCTTCTTGAAAGAAGGCTGCCACATCTACAGGGAAGGCCCCGCGCCTGCTATGAAGCCGGGGGGTGCTTCCAAGAAGCTTTCCCCCTCCCCCTGCACTCGGCTGCGCGTGGCCGATCGTCGGCGGCAGTGTCCTTTGCGGAGGCTGGCCGCGTGTGCGCACAACTCAGGTCAAAAATCAATCAGCATCGATTCGGGAAATAGGATCAGATCGGAATGTGCATCAGATCGGGCCGCATCAGAGTCGGGACCGAATCGGATCGGCCGCACCGGGATTCACAACGACGGTGTGCGAGCACGGGACCGGCCGCACTCGATGTCGGATCGGATCGATCGGATCGAGACCGACTCTGCATGGGAGCTCCCCAGGGGGAAACCCACTGAAACGGCGCTCCTCTTGCTCGATGGCATCGGCGGGTGCGCGCTGCGAGAGCCATCGCGCTACCACAAGGAGGCTCTCGAGTCAAGGCTTGCAGTGGCCTGCCTGGCCCCTTGCAGGCCTCGGCCACGCGCGGGCTCCCCGGCCCAGGCCTGCGCGAGGAGCGGCCCGAGGGCAGGGGCCCAGCATGAGCCCGAACGCGTCCTCGTGTCCTACAAAAACCATGTCGATGGAGAGGCTATCAAACCATCATTATTTTCTCTTCGGCGACGAAAAGAAAATACTCAAGCATAGATAAACTCTCTATCGTTTTTATATATATATATATATATATATATATAACTCGTGTCAATATCTTGCCTGTACTCACCTGTGGCTACCTGCCAGACCACCCCAACCCAACCCGAAGACCCGAATTTCGGGTTGGGGGGGGTATGGGTTCCATACGTGTTTTTTCGATGTTCCCCGCCCCCCCCCCACTGGAAATGGAGGGCAAATTGAGGCCTTCGGGTTGGGTTGGGGTGGTTTGGTAGGTGGTGAACCTGCCAGGCTCGTTCTGACACTGATGCAGCTCACCTGCTGGACTCGTTCTGGAGACGATGCCGAAAACAGGTGCGCGCGGGAATGGATGCTCGACGCTGGCTGCGCTCGAAGGGGCGAGACTGGGAGACACGAAGGTTTGGGACCTCTCCGAGGCCCCCGATCCGGCCGAAATCGGGGGTTTTCCCCAAAATCGCCGACGACAGCATCTCCAATATGGTGCAGACAGATATGCCGGTGTTCTGGCCAGCGCCCACATGTTGCTACTCACCTGCCAGACTTGTTATGAAAATGGTGCATCGTAGCCGCCACCGTGCCTTGTGCACATAGAGGCGCTGCCTGGTGGTAAGGTTTCTCTAATGCTTTCCAGGGCCGACCCCATTCCCTCGTCGTTCGCGCCCTCCGAAAGCCGCTCTTCTCCCCGAAGCAGATCTCAATATCGAAATGATGTTTGGATATATACACTTTCAAAGAAAGGCTCCACGAGGAGGGGAAAAAGCAACGCCCATCGAAAACAGACAAACATACTCCGAACTGCAAAACCAATGATTGCCTGGAGACACCTTTTGTGCAGTGTTTCCCAAAGAAGCCTTGGCCGAGGGGCACCGAAACAGCCCGAACCAGCAACAAACAGAAACATCCCTAACAGGCAAACACGCCCAAGATTGACAAAACAGCCACAAAAAAAAACGCCTCAAGACAGCCAAGCTCGCCCCAAGACGGCCAGAAGGCCTCCAAAGCGGCCCCAAGACTGCCCATGAGGGCCTCCAGACGCTCCAAGAGGGCTCCAAGAGGGCTCCAAAACGGGCCGAAAGGACCCCAAGACGGCCCAAGAGGGCCCCAAGAGGACGCTCTCTAAGACCCTCGATTGCAAACAACACTGTTTCGTTTCAGAGTTTTGATTGATTTAAACATACCCGACAGGACCACACGAGGGCCCAAAGACGGACCAGGGGAGCTCCAAGACGGCCCAAGAGGCACTCAAGAAGGCCCAAGGGGGCCCCAACTCGAACCAACATGTCGCCAAGACTGCCCAATTAGCCCCAAGGTGGTCCCAACAGGAGCCTAAGCGAGTGATACCGAGCTGGCCTTGACAGCGTTTCCCTACAATATTGTCTCGAAGGACATCCAACATGCCGATACCAGAATGCGATGAACCTCGACGACGTCGAGGTGCCATTGGGGGACAGGGTGTTCATGATCCGCCCGGCACGTACCGCTGCTCTCATTACAATTCACCATTCCATCACCATCACCATCACCATCACCATCATCATGATCAGCATCAGCATCATACTCATCATCATCATCATCATCATCATCATCATCATCATCATCATCATCATCATCATCATTATCAGCGTCATCATGGCCATCACCCTAACAATTACCATTACCAAATGCATCACCATCACCATCATCACCACCAGTATCATGGTCTTCCTTTCTGTCACCATCACCATCACAATCACCATCACCAGAATCATCATCATCATCGTCAACAGCGTCGTCGTCATCGTCACCACCACGAACCACCACCGCTGTCATCATCCTCACCACCACCACCATCATCATCCACCTCATCATCATCACCATCATCGACATCAACATCACCATCAGCAGCATCAGCATCAGCATCAGCATCACCACCGCAGAAAGCTCCCAGGAGGCCCGAAGAGAAACCCAAGAAGCTCCCAAGAGGTATCTTCATCCTTCTCCTCATCCTCAGTTCCTCCCTCTCCTCATCCTCCTCTTCCTCCCCCACGCGTTCCCCGAAGGGCAACCACAACGGCTGGGGGAACGCATGGTCCAATAGCGTTGCCAAGCTTTGCCCAACCGTTTTGCCACATAGGCGTATCCTATAAGGAAAGGGGCGGCGGTGGTTCGCCGTAAGCGTCATTCGATAAATGTACGTCCAACATTCCTTCCTACCTTCTTTTTCCCTCCCTCCTCCTCGCTCCTCCTCGCTCCTCCTCGCTCCTCCTCGCTCCTCCTCCTCCTCCTCCTCCTCCTCCTCCTCCTCCTCCTCCTCCTCCTTCTGCTTCCCCGATCGCTCAATCTCCGATCCCCCTCCGCCTGCTCCATGTCTTCCTGCCGCAGCTCAGTGTGCCCTCCCCCCTCATCCTCACCCTCACTTCCTCCGCCTCTCCTTCTGCACTCCGTCTCTACCTTAAAGTCGGGCCTATCCCCCTACAGGTGGATTTTCGACGAAGAATGTAACTTCCTCCGCCTCTCCTTCTGCACTCCGTCTCTACCTCTAAGTCGGGCCTGTCCCTCTACAGGGGGATTTTCGACGAAAAATGCAAAATACCACCAAAATGATCAAAACATAGTTTGGGGACTATGTTTTGAATATTATGTGCCTTTTGGGGTATTTACCTAACAGCTTTTGCTGATAGGTTTCTAACGGTGTCAAAAGAGAGCATCTTGACGCCCCAGGGGGGTCTGGGCGGAAGCCGGACAAGGAACCGTACAGATCCGCCAGCCCCAGGAATCCTTAGGAATCCTTACGGGTTCTTAGGAATCCTTAACCATCCATTCCCAGAACACCATTCCCAGGCCACATTTTGAATGCCCGGAGCCAACTCTAGGCCACTTCGTGTTCTTCGTGTTCCCAGAACACCATTCCCAGACCACATTTTGAATGCCCGGAGCCAACTGTAAACCACTTCGTGTTCTTCGTCTTCCCAGAACACCATTCCCTGGCCACATTTTTGGTGCCCAGAGCCAACTGTAAACCACTTCGTGTTCTTCGTGTTCCCAGAACACCATTCCCAGGCCGCATTTTTGGTGCCCAGAGCCAACTGTAGGCCACTTCGTGTTCTTCGTGTTCCCAGAACATAATTCACAGGCCACATTTTGAATGCCCAGAGCCAACTGTAAACCACTTCTTGTTCTTCGTCTTCCCAGAACACCATTCCCTGGCCACATTTTGAATGCCCCGAGCCAACTGTAAACCACTTCGAGTTCTTCGTCTTCCCAGAACACCATTCCCAAGCCACATTTTGAATACCGGGAGCCAACTGTAGGCCACTTCGTGTTCTTCGTGTTCCCAAAACATAATTCACAGGCCACATTTTGAATGCCCAGAGCCAACTGTAGGCCACTTCGTGTTCTTCGTGTTCCCGGAACATAACATTTTGAATGCCCAGAGCCAGCTGTAGGCCACTTCGTGTTCTTCGTGTTCCCCGAACACCATTCCCAGGCCACATTTTGAATACCCGGAGCCAACTGTAGGCCACTTCGTGTTCTTCGTGTTCCCAGAACACCGTTCCCAGACCACATTCTGAATGCCCGGAGCCAACTGTAAACCACTTCGTGTTCTTCGTCTTCCCAGAACACCATTCCCTGGCCACATTTTGAATGCCCGGAGCCAACTGTAAACCACTTCGTGTTCTTCGTGTTCCCAGAACACCACTCCCAGGCCACATTTGAATACCCAGAGCCAACTGTAGGCCACTTCGTGTTCTTCGTGTTCCCAGAACACCATTCCCAGGCTACATTTTGAATGCCCGGAGCCAACTATAGGCCACTTCGTGTTCTTCGTCTTCCCAGAACACCACTCCCAGGCCACATTTTGAATGCCCGGAGCCAACTGTAAACCACTTCGTGTTCTTCGTCTTCCCAGAACACCATTTCCCAGGCCGCATTTTGAATGCCCAGAGCCAACTGTAGGCCACTTCGTGTTCTTCGTGTTCCCAGAACACCATTCCCAGGCTACATTTTGAATGCCCGGAGCCAACTATAGGCCACTTCGTGTTCTTCGTCTTCCCAGAACACCACTCCCAGGCCACATTTTGAATGCCCGGAGCCAACTGTAAACCACTTCGTGTTCTTCGTCTTCCCAGAAACATTTCCCAGGCCGCATTTTGAATGCCCAGAGCCAACTGTAGACCACTTCGTGTTCTTCGTGTTCCCGGAACACAATTCCTGCACCATATTTTAATTGCCCGGAGCCGACTGAGGGTCACTTCGTGATCTTCGTGTTCCCAGAACACTAGTCCTGTGCCATATTTTGAATGCCCGAGCTGAGGCAGGCTGAGGCCGAGGCAGGCTGAGGCCGAGGCAGGCTGAGGCTGAGGCTGAGGCACGCCGAGGCAGGCTGACGCCGAGGCTGAGGCAGGCCGAGGCCGAGGCTGAGGCTGAGGCTGGCGCAGGCTGAGGCAAGGCAGGCTGCAGTTGAGGCTGAGGCTCTCTGGCGGCCTCTGGGGGCGATCCGGGCACTCCTGGACGCCTCGCGGCGAGGCGCGGCGGCCGGAGAGCGCCCCACGGCTGGAGAGCCGCCGAGAGCCGACGAAGACATCCAGAAACAACGACGTGGCCCCGGACCGCCTGCCCTCCCAGAGGTCCGACGCTCCAGAACACTCGGAGGAGGAGCAGGAGGAGGAGGAGGAGGAGGAGGAGGAGGAGGAGCAGGAGAGAGGAGGAGGAGGAGGAGGGGGAGGGGGAGGAGGGGGAGGGGAGGGGGGAGGAGGAGGAGGAGGAGGAGGAGGAGGAGGAGGAGGAGCAGAGGAGGAGGAGGAGGAGGAGGAGGAGGGAGCAGGAGGGGGAGGAGGAGGAGGAGCAGGAGCAGGAAGGGAGCGGCGGGTTCCTGGCCGCCCTCGGCCTCCGGCGGCCCTCGCCGGGCCTCGGGGCCGTCGAGCGCCGAGTCGGCGAGGGCCGCCGGGCCCTGGGGGAACAGGGGGTCCGGAGCTCCAGGGCCCAGTCGGACCAGAGCTCCTCCTCCTCCTCCTCCTCCTCCTCCTCCTCCTCCTCCTCCTCACCTCTTCTCCCCTATAGGGGGGGGGGGGGGGGGGGCGCAGAGCGCGCCGCGCGCCGCGCGCCGCGCGAAGTGGCCGGCGCCCTTTGGGAGCGCGCCGAACGCCCGCAGCGGGTGCGGGGAAACATGCGCAATGCCCAGCACCGAACGTCGTCCAACACCAGCAGCGGCCGCCGTGGGGCAGGCGGCTCTGCGTCTCCGGAGAGCAGCGTCCGCGGCCGCGCGCGGACAGCGAGTCCTGCTCGACATCGGCAGGAGCTGCTGTTGGGTGTCGTGCCCGTTCTTTCCGTACCCGTCTCGATCGTCCCGATCTGGGCTTCTGCCCACATACAGTCGGGTCGTTGACCTAAGGAACCCTAGAAAGGAGCGAGGCCCCTGTTTCTCATCAGTTCAAGTTCGATCTCCCATCGAATACCTAAGGTAAACCCAAGGCAAGCTGTGAGACAATCAAGGAACACGGAGCCCCTCCCCAACGAGAAGGGTTCCTTCTTCAGCGCCCCGACTGTGGCTTTCGTGGGTTCTCGTCGACTTCGTGGAATCCCAAAACGCCCTTGTTGCCTCCCAGACACCCGCGAAATTAATGGATTTCGCTGGCTTTGTGGGTTTCGTTGATTTTCGTTGAGTTCGTGGAACCATAAAGCGCCTATATTGCACATCATGATCCAAATGGAGCAAATCGCGCGAGCGCGCCCTCTCCCGCGGCGGCGCGCCGACCTCGGCGGCTCGTAGACCGGGCGGCCACGCATCAGGTTCTCGATGGTCTGCTCCTGCGGGCGGGGGGCCTCTCGCTGGTGCGATCGGAGCGGGTACAAAAAGGATGTGGAGGAAGAGCGACGGCAGATGCCTCGCCATCGCTCGGACGTCCATTCCGTGTGCTTCTCTCGGTTTCGTGCGTGGTTTTCTCGCCAAATGATCAAGGATGCTCTGCGATGGTCCTCGCCGAGGAAAAAACGCACGCGTCTGAGCGATGACGAGATGCTGTCCATTCTGAGCAGGACTCGCTGTCAGCGTCGCCGCGGACGTTGTCCACTTGACACACGCTTCCTGCTCCTCGTCCACCCCCTCCTCCCGCTCCACCTCATCCCGTCGTGCTCCCTCTCTTCCCCCTCATGCCTCACCGCCTGGTCATCTCCTCCACCTCCTCCACCGCTCCTTGCTGCTCCTCCTTCTGGAGGCGGCCGGGATGTCCTGAACTGGCCGGGGCCCAGAAAATCGGCCAGGAGGGGGGGCAATGCCAAATCCGCTTGCAATCTGTCCCTGGACCCCTCCTGGAGTCCATCTGGTGGGATTTTCGCCGCGGATCCGTTTCTGACGGTCCTGGGCCCGAAAAAAGACCCCAGAGGCAGAAAAGGAACATTTGCCTTGCGAAAGACCCAGCCATATGCAATTGTGAACAATGCAATTGTTAATATTGTCTTCGGTGGAGTTCCCTATGAGGCCACGGAACATGTGAGGAATGTACCGACGAGCGCATGCGAACGCAACCATTGGGGTCTTCGGTGGAGTTCCCGGGGTACGCCGAAATGGGCGGGGCGGATGCAAGCGAGCACCGCCACTGGGACCTTCGGTGGAGCTCCCTTTGGGACCACGAAACGTGATAAGGGGTGAGTCAAAAATCAACCTGGCGAAGGACCCAACCATGTGCAATTGTGAATACCGTCATTGTTAGTATCGCCTTCGCCGATCTACGTGCGACCTTCCGAAAGCGCGTGCGCAAAGCGAGCACTCCGTGACGAAGCAACGCGGACGTGACCAAATTAATTGCCAGCATACTTCGATCGGCGATACGCCCAGTGACGGGGGTAGAGGAGGAGCAGGGCGGAGCTTCCTATGGGGCCACGAAACGTGTGAGGGGTGTTCCGAAATGGGGCAGCCCCGCCATGCGAACGCAGCCACTGAGGCCTTGGGTGGAGCTCCCTGTGGGGCCACGGAACGTGTGAGGGGTGTGCCAAAATGGGGCGGCGCCGCCAGGCGGACTGCGCCACTGGGACGTAAAAGTGGAGCTCCATATGGGGTCACGAGACGTGTGAAGGGTGTGCCAACATGGGGCAGCGCCGCCATGCGGACTGCGCCACTGGGACCTTAGATGGAGCTCCCTATGGGGCCACGAGACGTGTGAGGGGTGTGCCAAAATGGGGCGGCGCCGCCATGCGGACTGCGCCACTGGGACCCGAAGGTGGAGCTTCCTATGGGGCCATGAAACGTGTGAGGGGTGTGCCAAGATGGGGCAGCGCCGCCATGCGGACTGCGCCACTGGGACCGTAAGGTGGAGCTCCCTATGGGGCCACGAAGCGTGTGAGGGGTGTGCCAAGACGGGGCGGCGCCGCCATGCGGACTGCGCCACTGGGACCTTGGTGGAGCTCCATATGGGGCCACGGAACGTGTGAGGGGTGTGACGAAGAAGATGACGATGATGGTGGTTATGACGATGATGGTGATGATGACGGCCATGATGATGATACTGATGATGTTGATGATGATCACGATGATGCTGATGGTGATGATACTGATGATGATGCTGATGATGATGATGACGGCCACGAGGTTGATGATGACGACGACGATGACGATGACGATGACGATGATGATGATGCTGCTGATCATGATCATGATCATGATCATGATGATGATGATGATGATGATGATGATGATGATGATGATGATGATGATGATGATGATGATGATGATGATGATGATGATGGGAGGGGGGAGGGAGGATGGGAGAAGAAGACGAGGGACGCGCGGCGCTGTCTCTCAAAACGAAGGCCCAGCACCACATGATGGTTGGGAATAATCGAGGCGGACGCTTGCGAACGCAGCCGCTGAGGCCTCCGGTTGCGCTCCCTATGAGGCCACGGTACGTGTGAGGGGTGTACCAGAAGGACGGGGGTGGCGGCATGCGAGCGCAGCCACTGAGACCTTAGGTGGAGCTACCTATGGGGCCACGAAACTTGTGAACGGTGTGCCAAAAGGACGGGGGTGGCGGCATGCGAACGCAACCACTGGGTCATTGGGTGTAGCTCCCTATCGGGCCACGAAGCTTGAGAGGGGTGTGCCAAAGTGAGAGGGGGGGGGGCTGCGTACGAACGCAGCCACTGGGGCCTTAGGTGGCGTTTCCTGTGGGGCCACGCAACGTGCGAGGGCTGTGCCAACGTGAGGGGGTCGCGGCATACGAACGCAGCCGATGGGGCCTTCGGTGGGGTTCCTGATGTGGCCAGGAAGCGTGTGAGGGGTGGCCGCATATGAACGCAGCCGCTGAGGCCTGGGGTGGAGCTCCCTTTGGGGCCATGAAACGTGTGAGGAGTGTGCCAAAATGGAGGGAGTGACTGCGTACGAACGCAGCCACTGAGTCCTTCGGTGGCGCTCCCTATGGGGCCATGAAACGTGTGGGGTGTGTGTGCCAAAGTGAGGGGGGTGGCGGCATGCGAATGCAGCCACTGGGGCCTTCGGTGGAGCTCCCGATGGGGCCACAAGACGTCCGAGGGGTGTCTGGGGCCTTCGGTGGAGCTCCCGATGGGGCCCCAAAACGTCCGAGGGGTGTGCCGAAGTCGAAGTGACGGGGGGGGAAGAGGGGGGGGGCGCCATGCGAACGCAGCCGCTGAGGCCTTCGGTGGAGCTCCCGATGGGGCCACGAAGCGTGTGAGGGGTGTGCCGGAGATGAAGCTGATGACCATGAAGGCGATGATGATGTCGATGATGACCACGATGGTGATGACGAAAACGGTGATGGCGGTCATGGTGGTGATGATGATGCTGATGCTGATGCTGCTGCTGATGATGATACTGCTGATGATGATGCTGATGCTGATGCTGATGCTGATGCTGATGCTGATGATGATGATGATGATGATGGTGATGATGATGATGATGATGATGATGATGATGATGATGATGATGATGATGATGATGATGATGATGATGATGATGATGATGCAGGAGGAAGGGGATGAAGAAGACGCTGGCGAAGATGATGACGACGATGAAGACAGGCAGGGGTCTGAGGCATCTTGTTTGGGATGATGGTGACGATGACGGAGAGAACGCGGGGCGTTGTCTCTTCAAAACGGCGACCCAACTCTACAGAATGGTTGGGGCAATCATCATGGCGAAAGACCCAACCATAATTATGCATTTGTGGGTACCGCCAGTGCGAAAACCGCATTCGGTGGAGCTCCGCATGAGGCCGCGAAGCGCGCGAAGGGAGCACCGAAATGGGTCGGGGCCGCCATGTGAGCGTTGCCGCTGATACCTTGGATTGAAATCCGAATGGGATCGGGCAGCGCGTGATGGGCGCGCCGAAACGCGCGAGAGGCATGCAAATACCGCGGGGGAGATCAGACGAAGGATGGAGGCGCGCAAACTCCGAATATCGCAACGTCTACTACAAACCTCTGCCCTACTCCTCCTCCTCCTCCTCCTCCTCCTCCTCCTCCTCCTCCTCCTCCTCCTGCTCTGACAAGCAATGCGCCGCGGTTAAGGGTAAGGCCCAGGGCGACGCGGGTCCGGGTGCGGCGGGCGGAACGGGAGGGCCGAGCGGAAATCCCGATCGCCGGTCTGGGGCGTCCAGGCGCTGAAGAACACCGTTGCGGTTGACAGACCTCGGGGTCATACAGGCTTCGGAACAAATTAGCGAACACTCATGCCAAATTCATCTGTCAACGCCTCCCCCCCGCAATGTTCAAAGTTGGCGGTGGGTCTGATGAGATGCACTTCGACCGCAGTGTTTTCCGCGCGTGCCAACATTGACATGGGGGGAGGGGGAGTGTTCAGTAATTGTTTCCCTCTACCGTATGCGCCGTCGTCGGCAACATTCGGATCACCCAGGTCCGCCGAAACGGGATGCACGCGGATGTGACCCGTTGCGGTTGGCGGGCCCCAGGAGCGGCGGACGCGCGGCGCGAGGGATCACGCGGAGAAGCACCCAGGAGACGTTTCTTCTCGGGCGTCGGAGACGCCGGTGCCGTCGACAATGTCCAGCACGCGATCTGGCGGCGCGGCGAATCGAGAGGGGCGCGCTCTCAGGCGGCGCCAGGCGGAAACGAGCGAGCAAGCCGACGCATGTCCGCTCTCCCCAGCGGAGTTCCGACAACGCGCGGCACCCGCACTCGTCTGCTGGCCATGCACACGCAGCCCACGAGGCTGCGCAGCGCATCAGCGAGCGAGGAGTCCCGTTGACGCGCGCTCGAATTTGTTCGATGCGTTGCCCCAGAGGGGCGCACGGAGCCCTCAGCGGGCTCCAGGACCGTCGAAAATAGGCTCAGGACGAGGAGGGGAAGTTGTCGAGACCTCCCCCGGGGAAACTGCTGGGCCCACGCATCGAACAGATCTGGGCGAACGATGGGCTGCGTGACCCGCGCCTCAGGGGAACCATCCGCGCGCGCGTCGAAAGGAGGGACGCAGGAGGAGCGAGGAGGGAAAAGCAAGGAGGGCATGAAGATGGAGGCACGCCCCCATCGAGTAGTTGGCGGACCGTCTCCCGACCTCCAGCCGCACGGCCCCAGTGCGCGGCCGGAAGCCGCCGAATACCTTTGGCCCACCGCCGGCAAGAATGCCCCGCGGTGGTCTCCAGATCTGGGCGTCGAGCATCGCGGTTCGAGGAAGAAGGCTGGCTCACGTCGGTTCGGATCTCTGGCCGCGTGCCCTCCGGGTCGCCGCGGCCAGACGCGGCTCGAGGAACTGGTGCGTTGGGATCCCGGGGGGTCCCTGAAACCCGTTTGGATAGTTTTGGGAGCGGAAGAGAGGACGAGGACGATGAGAATGAGGATGGCGAGGAGGAAACGGCAACGGATAGGAGTAACGGCGGAGGGAAGCGGGAGGAGCGAGGAGGGAGGAGCGAGGAGGGTATGAGGACGAGAGGACGTCCCGATCGAGCAAGTCAACCGAATCGACGCTGGGTGGCGCGTGCATGCCTTCGCCAAGTCGCGGCACACGCATCCTGTATACACGGGAGGCCTGAGGACGAGCGAACACACTGTAATGTGCCAAGGAATGTTCCTCCCTCCCCCTCCTCCTCCCCCCCTACCCCTCCGCCGGAGGGCTGCCTTCGATCGAGCTCCCTATAGGGCCACGAATCGCGCGAAGGGTGTGCCACAGCGAGGGGGGAGCGCATGCGAGTGCAGCCACAGGGGCCTTCAATGGAGCTCCCTTAGGGTTACGAAACGTGTGAGGGGTGTGCCGGAGTAAGGGAGGTGGCGGCATGCGAGCGCAGCCACTGGGGGGCCTTCGGTGGAGCTCCCTATGGGGCCACGAAACGTGTGAAGGGTGCGCCGAAGTGACGGGTGGTGGCGGCATGCGATCGCAGCCACAGGGGACTCTGGTGGAGCTTCCATATGGAGCCACGAAACGTGTGAGGGGTGTGCGACGGTGGGGGAAGTGACAGCATGCGAACGCAGCCACTGGGTCGTTCGGTGGAGCTCCCGATGGGGCCACGAAACGTGTGAGGGGTGTGCCACAGGGAGGGGGTGGCGACATGCGATCTCAGCCACTGGGGCCTCTGGAGACCCCTATGAGGCCACGCAACGTGTGGGAGGTGTGCCAAAGTGGAGAAAGTGGCGGCATGCGAACGCAGCCACTGGGTCATTCGGTGGCGCTCCCTATGGGGCCACGAAACGTGTGAGGGGTGTGCCACAAGGACGGGGGTGACGGCATGTGAACGCATCCACTGGGGCCTGCGGTGGGGCTCCCTGTGGGGCCACGAACAATGTGAGGTGTGCGCTGGAGTGAGGGGGGTGGCGGCATGCGAACGCTGTCGCTGGGGCCTTCGATGGAGCTCCCCATGGGGCCACGCAACGTGTGAGGGGTGCGCCAAAGTAAGGGGGGTAGCGGCGTGCGAACGCAGTCACTGAGCTACGAAACGTGTGAGGGGTGTGCCGAAGTGGAGGGGCGGCGGCATGCGAACGCAGCCAAGGGGCCTTCGGTGGAGCTCCCTATGGGGCCACGAAACGTGTGAGGAGTGCGCCGAAGTGAGGGGGCGGCGGCATGCGAACGCAGCCACTGGGGCCTTAGGTGGAAACCCGTAGGGGGCCACGAAACGTGTGAGGGGTGTGCCGAAGCTGAAGCCGATGACGATGGTGATGACGATGGTGATGATGATGATGATGATGATGATGATGATGCTGATGATGATGATGATGATGATGGTGATGATGATGATGATGATGATGATGATGGTGATGCTGAAAACGATGATAACGGCCATGGTGATGATGCTGTTGCTGCTGATGGTGATGGTGATGATGGTGATGATGATGGTGATGCAGGAGGAGGGGGAATGAGGAACACGCTGACTATGATGATGATGCTGATGCTGCTGATGATGCTGATGGATATGATGATAACGGTGCTGCTGCTGCTGCTGCTGCGGATGATGATGATGATGATGATGATGATGATGAGGATGATGATGATGATGATGATGATGATGATGATGATGATGATGATGATGATGATGATGATGTTGCTGATGCTGACCATGATGATGACGATGATGAGGATGATGATGATGTTGTCGATGATGATGATGATGGTGATGATGATGATGAATATGTCGACTATGAGGACATGCAGAGGACATATACATAATGATGCTGACGATGATGCAGCTGATGATGATGTTGCTGATGATGGTGATCATGATGATGCTGATGCTGATGGTGATGTCGACTATGAGGGCACGCAGAGGACAGAGGCATACTGATGATGATGATGCTAATGATGATGATGCTGATGCTGATGCTGATGCTGGTGGTGGTGATGATGATGATGATGATGATGATGATGATGATGATGATGATGCCGATGTCGATGAGGACATGCAGGAGGCGGAGGCAAAGGCGGGAGAAGGGAGGAATGGGAGGAGAGGAACGCGGGTTACTGTCTCATCAACACGAAGACTCAACACCACAAGATGGTTTGGAAAAACCTTCTCGAATCCAGACCCTCGACCCTGGCCCTTCCTGTCTGCTGGCTGGATCCAATGCTGTGCCACCAGAGACCCCCTGCCGGCTCGAATCCTCCTCCTCCTCCTGCTCCTGCTCCTCCTCCTCATGCAGCCCTGCTCCTGCTCCTCCTCCTGCTCCTCCTCCTGCTCCTCCTCCTGCTCCTGTTCCTGCTCCTGCATGCTCGCGCCGTCGGCTCCCAAGTGGGACCGACACCTCCATCGCACAGGAGGACCGACGGCGAAGCCGGAAAAGAATGTCAGGTCAGATCACTTCACGCAAAGATTTGGCAGACTGGCGATCGCTTCTCTGAAGCTCATTCCCATCGGGGCCGTGTGAAATTCCGATCCTGCCGATGGTTGACAAACTCAACAACTGATGCGGCCACTGACTCTTCACAGCAGGCGGACAGGCAATCCGACCCATGGGCGCAGGCAGGAGGGGGAAAGGAGAGGCAGAGAAACGAGCCGAGCCAGCGAGCCAGCACGGCGGCAGGCAAGAGCGGAGGAGCCAAGAGCCCACACCACAAGGTTCCTGCTCCTGCTCCTGCTGCTGCTCCTCCTCCTCCTCCTCCTGCACCTCCTGCACCTCTGCGTCTCTCATCAGCCTCTCATCAACCTCACTCCTCCGACCGTCGGGGCGGCGCAGGGCGCGCTGCCAGAAAGGGGGGGGGGGGCAGGAGAGGCGGGGAAGGGGACCCCGAGGACGACGGACGCCAGGGGCGCAGGGATGCGCCAATGGGGGGGGAGGAGGAGGCGACTCCTGGGAGGCCTCCGTGAGAACGGCTCAAGGTTACTCAGCTCGATTACGGGGCAGCTGGGCCGGATTAGGCCGGATTGTGAACCCAGGATGAAGCGGGAATCAGCGGGGCTATGCCAGACCGCACGCCGGCCTTCGACTGCGGACGTGCCAGCGCCAATGCTTCAGGAAATCTCCCAGGAGTCTCATCCCAATGATAGAACAGAAGAAGAAGAGAAAGAAGAATAAGAGAGAATAATAATAAGAAGAATAATAAAAGGCATGCAAATTATAGAACACAAGAAGAGTAGAAATAATAAGAATAATAAGAATAATAATAAGAATAATAAGAAGAAAAGGCATGAAAACGATGGAACAGAAGAAGAAGAGAACGAAGAAGAAGAATAATAAGAAAAGACATGATAATGATAGAACAGAAGGAGAAGAGAAAGAAGAAGAAGAAGAAGAAGAAGAGAAGGCATGAACATGCACTTGTGGCGCTACGCGCGGGTTCCTTGGATCTGCGCTGGACCCCTCTCCCTGGCGCGCGGAGCGCGCCAGGCCGCCGGCGGGGCCCCTTGCGCGGGTTCCACACATTTTTCCGCGCGGAGCACCGAAAGTTTCTGTTTATGCAGTTTGCTTATTCCTCTTCTTCTTCACGATTTTGCAGCTTCGAAAGTTGTTACGTCGCTTCTTCTGCTTCTTCGAGCTTCTCCGAAAAGTTGATGTGTATGTAGTTTGCTTCTTCTTCGAGCCTTTGCAGCTTCGAAAGTTGTTACGTCGCTTCTCCTGCTTCTTCGAGCTTCTCCGAAAATTGATGTGTATGTAGTTTGCTTATTTTTATTTTTCTTCGAGCTTTTGCAGCTTCGAAAGTTGTTGACTACCTACCAGACCACCCCAACCCAACCCGAGGACCCGAATTTCGGTTTGGGGGGGTAAGGGTTCCACGTGTGTTTTTTCTATGTTTCCCGCCCCCCCCCCCCCACTGGATGGAAATCGAGGGTAAATCTGAGCCTTCGGGTTGGGTTGGGATGGCTTGGTGGGTGGTGAGTTGTTACGTCGCTTCTTCTGCTTCTTCGAGCTTCTCCGAAAAGTTGATGTGTATGCAGTTTGCTGATCATTATGCTTCTTCTTCTTCGAGCTGATGCAGCCTGCCGAGGGGGCCGGGGTGTCCTTCACCTTGATGTCCAGCAAGCACAGCGTGTGCAGCCCTGCCTTCCTGTTCGCTGCGAGCCGCGGGCCCCCCCCCCAGCCAGCTGGGGGGGGGCTTCCAGCCAGCTGGGGGGGCATCCGGCCCCCTAATTATCGCCGCCAGACCGCGTCGGTGCGTTCCTGCCTCGCCCTCACGTTCTCTCTCTCTCTCTCTCAATCTCTTTTTTGGTTTCTCTCTCTCTCTCTCACTCTCTTTTTAACGATGGCTCTCTCGTTGTTTTTGTTTGTTCTCTCTCTCTCTCGTACCGTGCCCTCACCTCTCTCTGTATCACATCCTCTCTCCCGATCCATCGCTCCCCCTTGATCATCCTAACGGGAGCCCAACACGACGAGGTTAATTAGAGCAATGCAGCATATGACCGACTACAGCAGGACCCTGACTTCTGAGCATCCATTCTCGCATCGCTGGATATTCAACCATGTATCTTCACATGGACGAAGGTCTCTGATTCCATTGATGAACGTATGCCGCTCGCTGGCAGATCTGCTTTCTAAATTTGTGTAGTACGCGCGCCATCGTGCAGACGCACTTGCGCGTAGTAGCACAAGCATGCCCAATGCCTAGACGGCAGAGATCCACATGGTGGTATCAGTTTGGTGCGACCTACGTGGCGCAAGCTGCTGTGCGGCGCAGCAGGTGTGACGCCAGCCACGAGGTGCCATCGACGTCGTGCGAGCACGGGCTGCGCTCTGCGTGCTCCGAGGCATGGGCCTGCCGATCGATGCCTGCACATCCCAGAGCGCCCGCCGACGCCCGAGGCGCCCACGGGCGCCCCCACGGGTGGCCTCCCGGTGTGCACCCTCCACGACCACCCTCGCCACCGCTCGGACGTCCCTTCCCTGTGTTTTTTTGTCCGGCTTCGTGCGTGGCTCTTTCGCCACGTGATCGAGGATGCTCCTCGACGGCCCTCGCCGAAGGAAAAAAATGCACACGCCCGAGCGATGCCAGGTCCACGACCGCCCGCCGCTGCCCGTCGGCATCCGCGTGCTGGTCGCACGGTGGGAGCGCCACGGTGCCCGGCCAGGGCACGCACGGCACGCCCCGGCGGCGCACGGGGCGCCTTTGCGAGGCCTCGGCCCGCTGCGCGGCCCACCGATGTGCACCGGGCAGGCCGCAGAGTGGCGCGCGCGCGGGCGATGCTCCGCAGGCGCGTCGTCAACGCCTCGCCTGCGCGCGGCGGGAATATCCCGAGGGCAACGAAGACGCAAACAGCGCGCACAGCCACGTCGCCCACGGTCCACGCGGCCTCGGGCACTCACTCGACACGGGCGGGCGGAGGGCCACTGCTTGGGATGAAGCAGATGTCTTCGACAACTCGCGGGAACCTCCCATGTTATCATGTTATCTTGCTGGCTCTTGCGGATCGAAGCCGACCGACGCTGATCGACGCCAGTCGACGCTCATCGACGCTCATCGATTGCCAGACGCCGAGGTACGCTGGTGAAAACGAAATTCCGAGGGCATGCAATAGCTAGCTCATCGGAATGGCTACGGGACAGACGGGTGCCGCGGGAAACGGGTCCTGGACCTGGCGCCTTCCCCGAAGAACCGGACTGTGGGCCCGGTCTTGGTCGGGGTGGCAGTATTAAATTAGCAAATGATAATGCCGAATGCGACCGTGGCCAAAACCAGTCCTGGTCACGGTCGCGGGTGGTATGATCAAGGTGGCACTAGATGATCGTAGGAAAATCCGCCGGCCCCCTTTTGGGGCCACCAGGCTGTAGTACGAAGCTTCGCAGTTTCCTGTGCCAGTTGCAGCTTCCAGTTTCCACTGTTACAGTTCTGCTTCTTGCTGCTTACTGTTCCTTGTTGACTTCTTGCTGCTTACTGTTCCTTGTTGATGGACCGCGCGAGGGGGGGAGGCCCAAAACGATGATTCTACCACGCCCAAATCGTATGCTCTGAATTGCTGGGGCGGGTAAAGATTTACACCCCTCACGCAGATCGGCGGGGTCAGGGTCCAAAAACACACACGGGATTTGCCACATTTCTGAAATTCGGTGGCACCCTCACACAGATCGGCGGGGTCAGGATGCAACAACACATTGGATTTGCCACATTTCTGATATTCGGTGGCACCCCTCACGCAGATCGGCAGGGTCAGGGTGCAAAAACAAATGGGATTTGCCACATTTCTAATATTCGCTGGCACCCCTCACGCAGATCGGCAGGGTCTGGGTCCAAAAACAAATGGGATTTGCCACAATTCTGACATTTGGTGGCCCCCCTCACGCAGATCGGCGGGGTCAGGGTCCAAAAACAAATGGGATTTGCCACATTTCTAAAATTGGGCTGCACCCCTCAAGCAGATCGGCAGGGTCAGGGTCCAAAAACACAGGAGATTTTACATATTTCTGAAATTCGGTGGCACCCCTCACACAGATCGGCAGGGTCAGGGTCCAACAACACAGGAGATTTTACATATTTCTGAAATTCGCTGGCACCCCTCACACAGATCGGCAGGGTCAGGGTCCAACAACACAGGGGATTCGCCACATGTCTGAACTCCGGCGGCACCCCTCACGCAGATCCGTAGGGTCAAGGGCCAAAAACACAAGGCATTTGCCACATTTCTGAAATTCGGTGGCACCCGTGACGCAGACCCGTAAGGTCAGGGTCGAAAAACAAAGAGGTCCCGACACTGCTTCACGGCGGCGCCCAAACCTCATGATTTAGCTTTTGCATCTCCCATTATCCGAGACAGGGGGCCGGCGGCATGGGGCGAAGCCCTTACGGCTTATACTTTAAAAAACGAACATAATGATAAGCATAATCATAAGAGCAATGGTAATCTTAAACATGATGTCGAACGCGACTGATTCAAAAACTGGTCCAACTCATGGTCGCGGTCGGAATGCATTCGAATGTGCACTGAATAATGTCGCCGCCAAAGCCGGACCGTGACTGGTCCTGGTCTGGGGGGACATTCCGATTGATCAAAAATTGTGCATCGTGACCGCGACCGTGACCAAGACTGGTCCTGGTCACGGTCGCGGGACAGCATTGTCTTTACCTATTCTAATGATGCACCCCGACCTCGACCGTCTCGGTCGCGGAGCGGCATGTTCTTACAACATGCGAATCATGTCTCCACCGCGAACGTGACCAAGACTGGTTCTGGTCTCGGTCGCGGAACGGCATTATTATTACCGAATTCGAACAATGCACCCCGACCGCGACCGTGACCAAGACTGGTGACTGGTCTCGGTCGTGGAGCGGCCTTTTTCAGTACTACCGAACTCGAATGATCTGCCCTGACCGCGACCGTAACCAGGACTGGTCCCAGTCGCGGTCGCCGGGCGGCATTACTATTATTGTTACTGCTATCAGTATCAAATTCGAAGAATGCACCCCGACCGCGACCGAGACCAAGACTGGTCCTGGCTTATGTCGCGGCGTGGCATCATCATTACGGGATTCGAATCATGTCTCGACCGCGACCATGGCCAGGACTGCTCCTGGTCTCTGTCGCGGAGCGGCACTATTATTACCTGATTCGAATAATTCGCCCCGGCCGCGACCGAAACCAAAATTAGTTTTAGTCGCGGTGGCCGGGCGGCTCAATTATTACCGAATGCAAATAATGCAGCCCAACCGCGACCGTGACCAGGACTGGTTCTGGTCGCGGTCGGGGGGCGGCATTCTTACCCCCTACTCCGACAATCATGTTCCATGATTAACTTGGCAACGTGAATTGACCCAAGAATGCGCGCTTTGGGAGGGGCCTTGCCTAGCAGAGCATGCCGCGCAGCGAACGGGGCACGTCTAGCACCAAGGATGTTGTTTTTCGATGCTATATGGATTACGGACAAGCAACAACAACCACATGCCGACATGGATCACGGATCCGCGAATCGGATCCGCGGATCGGGGAAGGCACCCCAGCAAATAATGAGTCCGATGCCACCTAATGTGGCGAAAGAGCGCGCCGGTGCTGCACAGAATCGGGGCCCGCCGCTGATCCGCGCGCCACAGCCCATGCTTGCAATTCCTGGAAGTGAGCGCTGGGTCCCCAGACCCCCGACGTCATGATTTTTTCATGACGCGACCCCCAGAGGTCCGGACCCATTCCCCGGGACCGGTTTTTCACCCTGAGTCGTTTTTTGACGGTCCCGAGGCCCAGTGAGAGCCCCCAGAGGCCGAAAATAGCGAAAAACCTCCCGTCGTGATTTTTCATGACCCGAAAGGGTCTGGGTCGGTGGAGGCGAAGCCGCCCTGGACCTTATCGTAGAAGCTGTCGGGCCGCCAGTCGTCCGTCCAGAACGGGATCGAGACCTGCGGAGCATGCGCCACCGCGAGCGGCCCGGTGCCCGCCACGCCGCTCGGATCGCACGACCCCGCTCGCGACTCCGCGTGTGGCCGTGTGGGGAAGATGTCCCTCCTCCCCGTCCTCCTCCTCCTCCTCCTCCTCCTCCTCCTCCTCCTCCTCGTCCTCGTCTTCGACTTCGGGTCCTCCTCCTCGTCCTCGTCCTCGTCCTCGTCCTCGTCCTCGTCCTCGTCCTCGTCCTCCTCCTCCTCATCCCCCTCCTCCCTCTCGAGCTGATGTATCAAGATTCCTCCCCCCCGCTGAAGATGGCATGGGAATCGCCCGCCCCCTCCGCGTATAACTACTCACATCAAGAATGGTGCCGAGCGCACCCTTGTTTATCCAACGCCAAGGTTCTGTGTCGGCCCCACGCGTCGGGACCGCCGTGGGCCATGCCTCGCCACGGGTCTAGACACACGGGGGGCGCAACCACGCGGCCCACGGAAAAACTGAGACCACCGAAGGCCCCACAGGCCGCGAGGGGCCTCGCCACGTCCATGAGCGGAGAGCAAAGCCGCCCCTGAAGGTAGAGGTTTGGGCGCCACAGCGGAACCTTCCCAAGGTCGGTTCCACGCGGGAAACAACCTCTGGAAAGGCCCGAAGGGCAGCCAAACGTCGGCCCTCAAGGGTGGTCGAGCTACTCCTTGCTAAAAGGGAGGCTGACGGCGGGGGACCAACACGTATTCGACGAAGCGCGGGAACCATGGAAACACCCTGAAGACACGGTCACAAAACACACGGGAACCGCTGATCCATGCGACTTGTTTATTTCGGGGCGCCCTTGTTTCTCCCGCGCCAGGGTTTTGTGTCGGCCCAACGTGTCGAGACCGCCGTGGGCCACCCCTAGCCACGAGACTAGACGCACGAGGGCGCAGCACCACGGCCCACGGAAAAACCGAGACCACCGAAGGCCCTGCAGGCCACGAGGGGCCTCGCCACGTCCATCGACGGTGAACAAAGCCGCCCATGAAGGTCGATGCTTGGACGCCACAGCGGAGCCCAAAGGTCGGTTCCACGCCCAAAAAAACTTCTGGGCCGGCGGGCAGCCAAGCGTGAGCCTTCATGGGTGGTCGGGCTCTTCCATGACCCCCTACTGCCCTTCAGCTTCATTTAGCACAATGGATAAGATGGAGCTGGGGCCTCCCTCCTGAATTGAATAGGACCTCCTTTCCCCGTTGGCAGCTCCTTTTGCCCACGCATGGCGAACAGACGATGCTGGCTCTGAGAAGACTGGGCGAGGTATCGCCAGCAGTCCTTCTGGCATGTAGATGCGCGCTGCATGGGCGCCTCGCCACCAGCCCATTTGCTAACGCGCTGGCGTGTTCTGATACTGCCTGAAATGGTTCCCGGCGCATCCCCAGAGCAATGCAAGGGCGAACGCCCACATGATGTATCTGGAGCTCGCACAGCGGCGCATCGAAAAGGGCTAGAAATGCCGTCGCCGTGCCACTTAACATGGAGTCGCCAGGCGCCAAGTGCCGAAGTAGAACAGCAGCGAAGCGTACAACTGTAGTGTCAGCAACCACCACTGACTCCCCAACACCACAATCCGCGCTTTGTGATCGGCATGATGATGACCACACATGGGAAATCAAGGGCCCAGCACCGGGCCAGGCACGCCACTGCAGGAGCACATTGACCTGTAAGGCGGCACTCGGATCGGCAATTCCACGCGCCTCCAGGCACCGAAACGGTCTCAACTGGCGGGCGGGATGCGACGCCTTCGAAGCAGAAGCTGGAGCCCAGACAGCACGTTGGCCGTGTCTGGAAAGGCCGTCTGTCCCATAAACGCCAGCCGCTCTTGGAAGCGGGCAACTGCCTTCTGCGGGCCAAAAAGTGTGGCGGGCTGAACGAGGCCGCGCGAAAGAAGACCCACTTCTGCGCAAGCCTGCCTGCAGCAAGGCTAGGCGCCTTGTGCCGAGGTGCGGCGCGCGCGGCGGCTAGCCATCGCCGCTGCCGCCCTGGGCCCTGCGACTCGGCGCGGTCGCCAGGTCCTGCTCCGTCTCAGAGCGCGCGTGAATTAGGCGGCGCAGCGACGCCAGCACTTGCGCGCAGATCCTGTTCACCACCGCGTTCGAGAAGCGAGGCGATGACCTTCTTTCGTCGCAACGTCAATGTCCGCCTTACTGCCCATGAAATTAAGAAAACGAGTTCGTATATGTCGATCTTGACGCAGCCGCCACTGAAGCGCCCCGAGGTAGATGCGCAATTCCAAACTCGCGATGCGTGGACCTCTCGCCCGCCAGCAGGTAATCACCCTTCAGCTCCACCTGGCCGCTGAAACGCGGTTCCGAGGCCAAGCGGGCGGAGCTGCGACCTCGTTGATGTCGACGCGCGCGCCCGAGCCGCCAGGCTCGGCCTTCTGAGCCAGCTCCTCGATCGGCACCGCGCTGGGGTCCCGTCGCGCCGTCGGGTCCGCGAGGGCAGTCTTCCTCGCGGGCGCCCCGCCGGCAGGGGTCGGCAGCGTCTCGCCCTCGCCAGACGCCCCCTCGATCACCGCCTCGCTGGCGGCCACCGCGCGGCCGCCGCCAGTTGCCCGCGCGGCCGCGAAGGTCGGAACCTCGCCCAGGTAACCGGCCAGGGCCGCCCAATGGGCTGGCCGCCAGGCCACCGCCGCGATCCGGATGGAATTCCACAACAACGCGCAACGGCGCTGCTCCAAGGCCAGCTTCTCCTTCCCGGCTCGCGCTGGGCGGGCCGTCGCAACGCGCCGCGGCGCCGGGCTGACCTCATCGTTGCACTTGCCCACGCCGCTGTGCAGCGAGGCCTGGGCCGCCGCTGCGCCGCGCGGCTGCGGGCGCGGCGATCTCCGCGAGGCCCCCCGCCACGCGCTCGCATCGGACACCTTCGCCGGCTCGCCCGCGGGAGCGCGCAGGTCGCAGCGCATGCGCACCAGGAGACTCACGGCGCCCACCAGGTCGCTTTCGGCGCGAGGTAGCGCCCGCTGACCGCGCATCATCACCATGAACTTCCAGACCAGGCTGAATCACGTCATGGTCTCACGGCGACGCAACGTCAGCCTCGCCCATCTGCCTGCTGGCACCTGCGTCCACTTTTTTTTGCGCCGCCTGCGCATTTCCCAGGTTGCAGCGAGTGGGTCAGCGGCACAAGCCGCCGATAATGCCCCGATGGCGGCCCGATGGCGCCCCGCGCGCCATGAATCTGGTCGCCCAGCACCGTGGCCTCAGAAGCCCTGGTCGCGGACTTGTTCACGTTGCGGGGGGGCGTCGCGGTGGTCGCCGCGCTGCAGCGCGCGATCCACGGCCTTGAGTCGCGCGCCCAGTCGCGGCATCTCCGTCTGCGTGGCGGGGGCCGCCTCCAGCAAATCCAAATTGTCCATGCGCACCTGCCAAAGATCCAACTGGATCCTTGACCTCGCGAGGCGCGCAACGCTGGCGCGCCCGCAGGGCGGCGCACTTCGCCCCGCGCTTCCTGCGCCCCGTCAGCGCGCTGGGCCTGCTCGGCGCAGCAGCGGCACTAGAGCCGGCGCCCCGTCGACGCGGGAACCTTGGCCGCAAAATGGGGCTGCTGCCCGAGCCAGGCCCCGTCTGCGGCGGCGCCCGCGCCCCGCGCGGACCCCTTCCTCTCGCGGAACGGATTTCCCCCGAAAGACGGCTCTCGACCGTCGAGCTGACTCCGGCGCCCCACGCGCGCGCCGCGAAGCCCCCGGACCGGAGGCGAGCCCGCCTGGCCGCGCCCTGGTCTTCGAGGGCGAACGCGCTCAGCAGCGGGCGCAGAAGGGCGGGGGATAGAGCGGGCGTCGTCGGCGAACCCACCTGGCCCATCATCGAACCCGCCCGGCTCTGAGGCGCCGGGCGGCCCGCCCGGCCGGCTTCTAGCCTCTTGACCCGGTGCGGGTAGTTCGCGAAGTGGCCCATCAGCGAGCCCCCCTGGCCCAGCATCAACGTCGCCTGACTCCGCGGCGTCGGGCGGCCCGCCTGGCCCGCCCCCAAGCACCTCGACCTGGCGCGGGCGCGTCGCGAAGTAACGTGTAGACGAGCCCATGAGGCTCAGCGTCAACATCACCTGGCATCGAGGCGTCGGGTAGCCCGCCCGACTCGCCCCATGCCCCTCGCCCTTGACCTGGCAGATCACGGCGCGGGTCGCGATCGGCAGGTCATGCCAGGACACGGGCCAGATAATGGCGCAAGAAGAAGCGTGCTGGATGATCCCCGTGGCTGACGCCCAACCCACGGGAACCCCCTTGGATGCCGGGTAGACGTCGCCCAGCCCAAGTGGCTGAAGGGCCGCGCGGTGCACGAGCAGTGACAGCGCTGCGCGCGGCCGCCACGGGAGAGGCACCCGATGCGCGCAGGTGCAAAACTTGGGGCCCTGCGATGACATGGGCAGCGCCACCCCCGACCTCAACGTCGCGCCCTTCCACTTCTCAACCGAGGGCATTGGGCCCATGCCACCCTGCGTGGCGTTATGTACCACATTCGATGGTATCGCGCCAATGACGAACCTCCGAGCTCCCGCGCCGAAGCCTCCCGCGCGGGCCCCGACGGGCGCCCGAAGCGCTTTCCCCCCTGCGAAGGCGGCCGCGCCCTTGAACTCGACGGGCCGCGGGGCATTGCGGTTCGCCAGCTATAGCAACAAAATCCTGCGACGACGCCCGCGCCCGATGGGTCTGCGGCATAGCTCCCGCCTCAACCTCGGACTCGAGGACGGCCGCCAGGCCCTGCAGCGCCGTGGGCGCCAAGCGATCGCACGCGTCCAACGCGTCGACCGATGGGGCCGCCTCCGCAGGAGGGGGCGCGTCCGACGGGCGATTCAGATCGAGCCGCTCGGAGGGGCAGCTCTCCTCTCCAGCGCGGCCTACTGCGGGGGCCACCAATTACTCGCCCATGTTGACTGCCAGGAGCTCGCTGCCGCGCTGCGTGAGAAACGCGCCCTTTCGCCCCCCAGCGGCCGGAGGGCCGCGCGCTGGGCCCGCGGCGGCTTCGGCGGAAAAGAGCCGGCAACGCCT